GGCACAGCAGCTGATGAACGAGCAGAAAACCAACTACAAAGCAGTGAAGGATATTCTGGAGCGCGTTTCCGGGAACATGCTCCGAATCTCCACTCCCAACCTCACCCTCGGGGTCAACAGCGTCACCGCGGATTCGCCCCTGGCGATGGCGGCGGATTCGGGTGCCGAAAGACACGTGCTGGCAGGCAAGGATTTCTGGCACGCCAGGAACACCCGCCCTCTCGACGCGCCCCTCATTCTCGAGGCGGCGAACGGCGAGACCGTCGTCACGCACCAGTGCGACGTCGTGTGCGGAGGCGTTCTCCTTCAAGGCGTCCTGATGTGCAAGACCGCAACATCGTCCCTTCTAGCAATCGTCCTCCTGACAGACGACGAATGGCAGTACCGCCAGGCTCGAGCCGGCGCTGTCTTGACGGACCCCGCCGGGACACCTTTCTTTCTACACAGGTCTGGCAACTTGTTCATCCTCGTGGCTACTAGTACTAGACCTACCCCTTCACCATTACCATCTTCGTCACCATCATCATGGGGAAGGGGAGAGGGAGGAGGAAGAGGAGAGACGGGAGTAGATCGCAACGAGGGTTTTGCTGGGTCGGCGTTTCGCAACCAGGGTTCTGCGGAGGAGGATGACAGTCGCGCCGCTGCGCCACGGCCGACTGGATTCCGGGAGCCCGGCGGCGTGGCGGACAGTCGTGCTGCTGAGCCACGGCCGACTGGAAACCCGTCGCCGGCCGCGACTTCGCCAGAGGGTCGCGGCGGGTCGTGGGCACCAAGCACGTTCGAAATGTATGCTGCCAGCGTGCGGGAGGAGCCCGTCCTGGTGGTGAACTCCCCGGAGGCGTTCCAGCAGTACTCTGCACGTGGTGACCCTTCGAAAATGATGTTGTACCTCTCAGAGCGTAAAAGCCCGCCGAGCGAGATGGACCCTGCGTTCCTTATCCATGTTAGGAAAGGCCACGCGGAGCACGACCCGAATTGCGACGTCTGCGTGCAGGCGAGGCTTCGTGCTCGCCCGGCCCGGCGGGTGCACCAGGAGTCTCCTGGAGGAGAGGTTTCTTCAGACCTCTCCGGCCCCCTGCCCGTCAGCCTAAACGGTAACAAGTACACCCTCGTAACTGTAATCCGGCTTTCCAGGCATGGCTTTGCAAACCCGTTGCCAAACAAAGAGTCTCAAACAGTGCGAGACGCGATGATCGATTGCAAGCTCGATCAGCGACGGTTGTGGCGATTCCATTCGGACGGCGGCGGAGAGTTTAAGGGGGAAGTGGACAGGTGGCTCCGGGAATGCGGTCTCGTTCACACCAACACTGGCGGATATAGGTCACAGGCCAACGGGATTGCCGAACGACGCATCCAAGAGTTGTTCGAGATCGTTCGGGCGCTCCTTCTGCAATCGGCCGCGCCCAAAGAACTCTGGGACGAAGCACTCGTGCACGCAAACGCCTTGTTCAACAACACCCCCAGAGCCGTACCAGGACACGACGGTAAGGTAGTTCCTCAAGTACTCGAAACTAGTAGTAGCGAGGACGTAAGCAAATGGCCACCTTGGGGGTTCAAGTGTTTTTACCTGATCCCCAAACCGGTGCGGACGGACAAACTAGACGGTGTTGCTCGACTAGGCGTGTTCGTCGGTTTCGACTCGAAAACGGTCAATGGGGTGAGGATTGCGCCGATTATGTGTTGTGGGGGCGAGTGGGTTGTCGAAAAACCGATCGTCTCGACCACTGTCCGCACTGTCGACGCCGAGTTCCCCCTGAAGACTCGCGGTGGTAAGCTCGACCCCCTCGACGGCGTCTTCGACATCCCGGACTCGGATACACCCCGCTCCTGGAAGGACTCCGCGGCTGCGGAGACCGGCGCGGCGGCGCCGGCGGCGGGTCCACAGGCGGCGGCAGGGGACAGTCGAGGTGTTGCGCCACGCCCGACTGGAACCGCCGCCCCTGACGGCCCCGCAGCACAGGCCACAGCACAACCACGACGTCCCAACAACCGTTTCGCCACGGTTGAGGAGCAGCGCGCCTACTGGCGCGAGCGTAAACGAGAGCAGGTTCGCAAACGCGTCCGGTCCAACCTCCTGGCCACGTCCGTAGAGAGCCATGGTGGCGATGAGTCCGATTGGGACAGCGTCAGTGCGTGTAGCACTCCTTCATCTTTCGCGTCCAATGCGTCCGACAGCGATAACGTCCAGCCGGATTTGTCTCGAGATGAGGTGGCTGTGTTGGCGACTGCGGCTCGCTCGCTCCAGCCATTGCGTTCCGTAGGCGCCACTGCCGTTACGACGGGGCCTGGCGATGATGTTTTCCGCGTTTTCGCGGGTGTCATTACTGCCCAGGACCCCGTCGCCGAGACGTTGTACGTCTAGGCCGTCAGGCGGCGCATGTCACGCAGCTGATGGACACGAAACTGTATCTCCAACGCCCAGATGGCCGCGGAGCTCAGGCGGCGGCCAAGGAGTTCGATCGTATGGCCGAGCACCCCGTGTGGCTTGCGCCACAAGAGCTGTCGTCGATTCCCGAGGGCGCCCGAGTTGTCAAAGGGAAACTCCTGATCTCTGAGAAGAACTGTGCATTCACGAAAGCACCAGGACACAACAAGTTGATGTACCTCGTCGGTAGGTTGTTCGGTACTCCTGTTACCCAGTTTCCCAATGGTTCGGTTAAGGTTGGGATGCAAAGGTTGGCTACACCGGGTGACTCTTCATCAACGTCGTGAGCAGCATTTGGACAACACGTGGAGATGCTCCCGGAGCAGAGGATGGTGGAGCGCACCGCCAGGGCCGTAATGTTGGACAACGCACAGTACTTGGGGCAGCTCGCTGGGAAGTGCGACGCGAACCAGCCACTCCAGGCCGAGCGGCGCGAAGAGCTGTTGGATCTGCAGGGCCAGCAGCTCTGGAAGGCTGACCGCCTTCAGGAGCGCATCCGGGCAGACGCGGCCGGCGCGGCCGCAAGGAGGGAAGGTGACAGTCGCGCTGCTGCGCCACGGCCGACTGGATCCGCCCAGTGGCGCGCCGTCGTGGCCGCGAAGGTGCCGAAGTGGGTCGCAAGCCACAAGGGGCATGAGCGGAATCGTGCCAGGGCAGACCCTCGCCTGGAGCTCGTCCCGGACGCGCCGCAGGACACCGGCCCCGAGCAGCAGGCGCGGGTCGTGCAGGTCGTGATCGACAAGCACCCGCGCGACGACATGTTCACGGCGCTGGTGAACAACCCGCTAACCGGGGCAGATGAGACGCAGTTCGGCATCCAGCGCGAAGCCCGTTTCTGCCATTTGTGGGCGGAGATCGGTCGCAGGGTCCCGGGTGCAATCGCATTGGTGTCGGAGAAGAACGTTCCGCTGCGGACCCTCCGCGGCGACTACCTGGTGAAAGACATCCCAGACCTGGACAACGACCTCTTGGAGATGAACCTCTCCACCCCCGAGACCTGGGAGCTGCCTTACTTGCGGGGCCCCCGCAACCTCACCCGCAAGCCTCCCAACGAGGCACAGAAGGCCCGGATGCGGAGCAACCGGACAGCGAACAAGCGGGTGCTGAAGGGCGCGCTCAAGCACGCCACGCCGAAGAGCAAGGCGGCCCCCAAGAGGTTTCCTGGTGCAACCTCCAAGGCTGCCGGCGCTCCTCCGGCGACCTGGTCTACTGAGCCGGGAACTTCTGAGTGAACGTATCTAGGCAAGGATGTGAAAATCCACGGAGAGAGTAGACAATATTTGGCGCAAGTTAGTTCTGTAGTCTGTAGCTGGCCCCTTTTGTAATCTACCGCACTGTCCTGGCATCATTTGCAAATGTAATCTTTTTAGCCCGGTGCATTTTTTTTCTCTGCGGGTGCACATCAGATTCCCTCTGTCGTCGTCCTCCCCCTCTATCTGTTGTGCCACCCGGCCCAGAGAAGACTTTCAGAACCGAGCCCTTTTGCACGGTCGCCACAGGCCCGCGGCGCGGCAAGGCGGCGTGCGGGAGGGGTTGCCGCGCCCCGTGCGCGGCTCAAGGCCCCCCCAAAAGGGCCGCCGCGCGCTCCCGCACCAAAGCCCCCCCCCCTCTTTGAAAGGGAAGCCCGAGCTCACCTTCTGCTCCGGAAGAGGGAGGGAGGGGGGTAGCTTCGAAGGCCTCCCCCCTTTAGCCAGGGCCCCCCTAGCTTGGAAACCCTTACTGAAGGGAGGGGGGGTAGCTTCGGAAGCTCCCCCCTCCCTTTTGAAAGGGAGAGGTGGTAGAGGTAGCTTGAAGCTGGGGGCCCCCTGTGTCCAAACCAAAAAGGAAGGGAGGACGGGGTAGCTTCCGACCCCCTCCCCCCTTTGAAAGGGAAGCCCGAGCTCACCTTCTGCTTTGGATAAAGGGAGGGAGGGGGGGTAGCATCGAAGGCCCCACCCTCTTTAGCCTGGGCCCCCTTAGCTTAGAAGCCCTTACAGAAGGGAGGGGGGGTAGCTTCGGAAGCCCCCCACCCTTTTGGAAGGAAGGGGGGGGGTAGCTTGAAGCTGGGGGCCCCCCTTTCCGTATTCCCGGCGCTGCGGGCGAGTTCTTTCGAAGAAATGGTGCAGAGCCCGGCAGCAATCAACGAATAAAAATAAGACGCGTGCGTACGCGGGTGCGAAAAGTGTGCGTACGTGCACCCTTAGAAAATTATGGTGGCACGGGTCCTTCCTAAATCTTCTGTATAGCTCCATGTACTAAGTCCCCCTCCTAACTCCTCTGACTGGTTTCCATCACTGACTCGCCCTGCAAGGTCCCTCGACTAACTCCGTTTGTTAAGTCCCCCTGCTAAGCTCCCTTACTATTGTCTGCACCAGCCCCGAATGGGACGCACGCCGATATACTAGTCAAGGCAATTCGGGCGCCCCCCCCCCAACGCAAGAAAGATGACCGAAACAAGGACGGCACAAAGACGAAGAGGATGTTCACGACGAGCAAGAGACCCGCCCGCACAAACCTCCCAATCGGAAAACGGTTGAGTAGGGGCAAGACGGAAAGAAGAACCCGGAGGAGAACATACAACTGAAATGACCACGAATCAGAAGAATAAGAACGAAAATATTGAAATTGGCCGGTCGGGCCTGCCAGCGGGGCCGGCGAGCGCGGTCAGCGGGCGGTCTGCGCCGCGGACCTGGCCCGCGCTGAAATAAGAGAGGACTGGGGGACGAGGGCGGGCGCAGGCCTAAGATTACCCCAGAATGCGTGATGCGAGCCCGTGTTTCTACACATGGAAGCCCATCCCTGAAGTCTGGAGGGGCTGGTAACCCGAAGCCTCAGGCTATCGGGCAACGCTCGTGCGCGGTAGGGCACGACCTGCGGTTGCAGCCCCACGTCCCAGGAGCAGAACGGAGGAGAGGGGATGGAGGACGAGGAGGAGAAAGAGCAGGAGCGACAGACCCAGCACGACTGGGTGGAGCACTGCGGAACGCCAGTCATTCCTATATTCGGGGGGAGCGACAGGGGTTGTGGCCCAACTGGCTCGCCCCGAAAGGTGGCGTCACGGCCTACCCATACTCAGACACAAATCGAATGCGATGCCCAAACGCTACCAGAAGAACTTGCGAGATAACTTCAAATAAAGACTCCACCACGTCCCGCACGCTACCCGATTCTAAGTTCGCACAACCCACACCATCAACACCGCCGACCGCAACCTTAAGCCCGTCGTCCTCCGCTGATCGTCCACGTTGACCCTTGCCTTTTATCGGTGTACCTCTCCCGCATCATCGTCAGAGCTACCTCGTGTTGATCCGACCTCGCCGCCAGACTCCTCACTCTTTCATTGGTCTGCTATGCTCATTGTCTTCTTCCTCCTCCTCATCCTCCTCCTCATCAACAGCATCATCAACATCATCGTCATCGTCACCGTCCTCGTCACAGTCATCGTCATCGCCATCGTCCTCATCCTCATTCTCATCCGCATCCTCATCATCATGACCAGCATCGCCATCATCATAAGCATAAGTGGTATCCTCATCGACATCGTAATCCTGATCATCAGCATCAGCACCAGCAGCAGCCAGCATCAGCATCATCATCGTCATGAGCATCATCATCATCATCATCATCAGCAGCATCATCGACAGCATCATCATCATCGGCATCAACATTCATTTCATCATCATCATCATCATCATCATCATCATCATCATCATCATCATCGCATTCATTACCACCACCACCGTCATCATCAGCATAATCAGCATCATCAGCAGCAGCGGCATCCGCATCATCAGCATCACCATCATCAGCATCACCAGCATCATCATCAGCATCATCAGCATCATCATCATGATCATCCGCATCATTATAATTCTCATGGTCAAGACCATCATCGTCAGCAGCAGCAGCATCATCATCATCATCAGCATCATCGTCATCATCCTCATCATCGTCATCAGTATCGAGCCAACACCTGTGCTGCCCTTATCGAAACAGCCGCTGGCCTCAACGGCTCGTGATCCCATGTCCTGCCCATCACAGCCGTCCCCGTCCTTCCCCTGCATCCGCTCGCGCTTGTTTGTTTCCTCCTGCCTGCCCTTCACCATCACCTTCCACCGTATCTCTCAGCCTAGGACCCTCCGAGAACGCCCTTAGGACAGCAACGAAAAAGGAATATAACATCGTGAATACAACATGGGCACGGGACTGCAACCAAACGCCCTGAACAAAATGCCGAATCGTGGAACATGGGAGCACAACACTGATGCTCAACAAGCCATTGGCATCGGCCGCGCTGCCAGGAGAAGGTCTTGCCTCAAGGGCGGTGCATCATCCATCATGCCTCATGCTATCCCACCCTTCACCTGATATCATGCACGGCACTGCGGGGGTTCAAGATGGGTGCTGCACGAGGAGCACATGGACCTCAAGAAATTCAAAAACCGGAACTTGCGCATCGATGTATCCCGGCCTCTGAATCCCAATGAGTCTGGCGCCACATCATACGACAACTGCCAATTAAACAGAAGGGCGGAATAATGGACACATAATGGGAAGAATCGATACTCTGCACCCGGCACATGCTTCAAATTCACCCGCCAAAAGAGAACCCCGGAAGGACAAATTGTACAATTACGTGGGACCTAACCAGGCGAGTCGATAACAAATCATCAAGTTCTCCACACGAAGAGCCCCTTTGTTGTTGCACGATGATCTGCCAATGGGCTCTCTGACCATCGCGGGCGTGCACATTGATTTTGATGATGCGGATAAAAGGCGAAGCCAGGGTTACGGTCGGACCTGGGACATAATATCACCGTTCTAAAACATGAAACCCTCCGCCCGCACAAACTGAAGAACATTCGAAAGTGTCTCCCCCCAGGATGCATGAGAACCTCCAACGAACACGAAGAACATTGGGGCACCCTCCCCGAACCAACCTCGATCGTACACCTCGGTCCGGCCGCATCAAAGAGCCAGAACATTTCCCGCCGGAGGCTGCAATGAGCAACCAAACCGCCGAGGTCAAATTCACGCAACGTCGCCAATTATCAAAGAGCCAACGAGAGTCAACGATAACCGCGCAATCGTCAGCTAAGGGACCAACGCACAAGAGACAAATCAGCCGACCCTTCGGCGCGCGCGAGACGCCGTCATCGTTTTCGCCGTGTCGCCGTCGTCGTCGCCCGCCCCACGATAAAAAGAAACGAACAGAAAAAAACAAATGTCGTCGTTAAGTCGATTCCCTCCCCTTGTACCCCTTCCTGACGGGAGGAGGGGGCACGGGGCGGGGATATGGAGAGGGAGGGGGGGTAGTGGGGGAAATGGACAAATAACAAACAATTAGAACCAAATCCAACCACTCTAATACTAATTCCAACGACTTTGGTACGAATTCCAACCAACCTCCAAAAGAAGCTCCACGGGCGTCTTAGAGGCGCGGTATTCCAGGTTGCGCTTGGCGCTGGCCAGATGCCGTCTGGCTGGCGGGGAATATGTTCCAACTGCTCGCGGGGTGCGAGGGAGCTTGCTCAATTGTCTTATCATCTGCTTCACCTCTTCATCTTCCTCCTCAAGCGACGACAACGAGGACGGCGAGGACGACGAGAGCAGCGCCCCCCTCCCGAAGCTCCGAAGAACAAGACTCAAGACCAAGGTGGGGGGATCCAGGCTGGGCTCGGGTAATCATCGAGGCAAACCTTTCAATGCACATCGTTTTAGCTTGGCTAAAGACTGAAGACTCCGATCCCCGCCCCCCCCCCGATGGGACCACGGAGGCCCAACTCTTAGCCGGCGGCGACGCGGCGTCCTCGCCGCCGAGGCCGGCGCCGTGCGCCTGGTTGGCGCCTGGGGGGGCGCACAGCCCGACTGGCAGCTCCTCCTCCTCCTCCCCCAATCCCTCCTCCCTCCTCTTCCTCCTCCCTCCTTCCTCCTCCTCCCTCCTACCTCCTTCAAGGCGTCTGGCTCGAGCGGTTTGTCGCCGTATCCGTGCCCACGCCCTGATACAGCCGATTGAAAGCAGGCGCCACGCCTGCCACTCTCTCGGCTTCCGCTCAATCCTCTACCTATCGTAGGAGGCGGCCTCACGGCATAAAGCGCAACGCAAAGAAAGATCCTGAGATCGTGTTCTCTTGCGTCTGGACCACGCTAAAGCAAGAACGGCGACGCGCCGCCCCAGACAGCATCAGACTCGATTGTCGACGGCCCCCAAACGTCAATCGGCTTTTAGAAGGTCACCCTCGCCCACCGATTGATCAGCGCTCGCAACACATGCAATTCCCGCGCGCGCCTGCGCAAATGGGAACGGCTTCTCCTTGGTGGTGCCCTGTTTGCCGCCGCAAGTGTCAAGCGCGCGAGCATACGAGCCCCATTCGCTTCCTCCCTCAGGGGGCACAGGGCCCTGGGACTGCCGCCTCTCACAAATCGCCCCAACTCACCTCGACGCCATAGCAGGGTGGGCGGCTCACTAGAGCATCCTGGCGCCTCCCCGGACGTCCTCAATAACGGGATTGGCAGCCGCTAACGTCCCAATCTTAGGCTGGGCTTCCGTCGGAATCAGAAGAGCCCACTACGCGTAGGAAGAAATCCAACACGCCCAACTGACTCCCAGGCAGGTCGGTCTCCAGCCCTGAGCGCCCAATGGAGATGAGGTGGCATCGGATGTTGCTGCCACCTTTATGGCGGCTCCTAGAGCCGCCTACAGCCGCCCCAAGCACGCCGCAAAGACCGCCACCGCAGGCTCAGGGACAATCCGCTCAGCTCATTGATCTGTCTCCTAGCAGCAAGGCTCCTGCAACGGCTGCTACAGCTCCTCGTCCCTGTCAATCCTCCGCCCTCAACCCTTCCTCGCGACATCTACTTGGGGAGCCACAGGTAAGGGAATCAGCATCGCCCTTCAGGACACTTACAAACATAGATCCCAACGATACCCTCCAAGTAGAATTGCCACCTCTTCCTTTGACTACCCCGCATGAGGCGCAGCAACACTCGGCATGGATTATATATACACCTGACCCAAAGCAGCTCGAAAAGCAACGCCAGGCCCTCAAGCTGGCCCAGGATGCTCGAGTTTTGCACCACCACTCTGGGCTACTCCTGGGTCGCTCTCAGAACCTTCTTTCGGAAATCCAAAAAGAAATGGCGGCGGCGTGCCTTCGAGTTCACAATTCCAGGGATCCACGCGTCAAGGTTCAGGAGCAAGAGGTCAGAAAGACCCCTCTCACGGAGAATATCAGCAAGCTGCAGACATATTTATCCAACACCCTAGCCCAGTCTGACTCTCCGCGCTATACTTGCTTGATCATGTGACGATCTGGAATAGGCCGAAGCTATCCCTGTCTATTTCCGTGCTCAATCACCGACACACCAGGCCGTTCAAGACTTCCCGAGGGGGGCGGAACAAGACGACCTGGCTGGATGCCCAGCGATCCGCCACAGCAGCAGATGTCTCTCATGCTGCTGCTGCACGAGCCCCCGCCCCACCAACGCCCGTCACAGGATCGGACACCCCGATCATCGACAGACCTCACCCCGCAGCACCAGCGCATGGACATCTCTATCAGACGGCACATCAGATTCCACTCACTAGCGAGCGAACTCGTCACCTCAGGGGCTCCGACTTCGACCCAGGCCAACATCGCCGCCATGTATTCCTCAACGGACCCCCCCTATCGGAAAACGCGAAGAATGTTCGCAGGACGAATGCCACACACAAGAATGTAGCCAGCTCCGCTACCAAATCGAGAAGGTTTCTCGGGGCCGGGGGCTCGTCATAAAGTGACGAGGTATTACAGTAGACATGCATAGTTACGTCAATACGATATCGGTCGTGCTGGGTGGTCGTATCCTTTTACTGGCAACTGAGCAATACACGGCCAGGGATGCGACCGTTCCTGCTCTGCTCCCGCTCGCTTTTCCAGCGAAGCAGCTCCCATTTAAAGTGTATACGATGTATGATTGGTGGCGTTAGTGCCCGGCCCCGGACTGTACATGAGTACTTCCTCGGAGAAAAACTCGGGGAGTCGACGTAAGTAGGGCGTAATAGGTGGTGTAGAGCAGGATCAAGAGGGCCGGAACCAGCCTAAGAAAGTTTGAAAAGGGGTTGGGAGGCCCCGCCAACAGCTTCGCCTCAGGCGAAGCCAAGCTCCAGCTCGGTTGTATCGTAGTAGCGATAGTCCCAATGCAAGAGGGCATGCCATGTCAAGTAAAAGGGGATGCCTTTTAGTATCGATAGCGATAGTGTGCCTCGCGGTGAGGCACAGTCAAATCTAGCTGGTCGGCCGCTTTGAGCCAAGGCGGCCGCGGACGCACGCTCGCTTCCACTCCTCACGCCCCCCATCTCGCTTTAGAGTCGGAAGGGGGAGGGAGACGAAGCGTGCGTCCGCCACTCGTGTAGCAGGAACATATCAGCAGCTAACCTATACCAAGGCAGCAAAAGAGACAGGCCCAGAGGAGTTGGACCCGCCAGCAAGTTGCCTCGCAAATGTATGACATACTCATCAAACGGCGTCAGAACTTGATGTCTGGCCGGCCCGATATGGCGTATGTCTCTTCAGGTCAGGTTTGAAGGTCAGTATACCTCCCCTGACTTGTAGGAGCATTTCTCTGTCGATGCTCCCCTTGGTGTGGCCATCCGCAGTCATGTCGCGGGTATCACAACACTGAATGCTGTGTTCCACGCTCCATCATCTGACGCATCCAACTGATGTGTCCTAAAAGGGTACACTGTGCACTCAGCCGGCTTCTTCAAGTTTATGCTTGACAAGGACTTAACAACAGACTCAGCATCGATGGTCAAGGTGACCTTGATGCTCAGGCCACCCAACTCAAGTACGTCTTTCAACTGAGCGGGCGTGAGTGGCCCCGCGTGGAGCTCGTTCAAAGTCACTATCGCGGGAGAACAGTCCTCCAAAGTATGGGCTGCTGCAAGTGTCTCTGCTGGGTAGCTTGAGCGGACTTGCAAGTGGTGAGATTTGCAGTACGCATCAATCAAGTGAACGACAGGCTTGCCAGACAACGTGTTTCCACGTCGTAGCAGGTTGCCCTTCGAACGCCATAGCCTTTGACGTCGCCGCCGGCGTCTCCACTCAGGCGTCGGTAGCCTGAGTCGCTATGTATGTCGACCTCGCCCGTGGGGTTCATCGCCTGGTAGATGATCTTCTTCGGGCAGGCCTGTAGCTTTCTAGTGTTCGCACTCAGTCGTCGCACTTGAATATTGGTCGGTTCTTGGGCGCGTGAGGGAGATGCAACCTAGACCGCCCAGATCTGGGTGATCCATGCGCATGCCAGCGCACCCCTGAGGCTGACGAGCATATCATATATGCCACCATCTTGGTCGTCTGAGCGTCAGCGTCAGCGCCAGTCAATTCAGGGTGCTGTATAGGACGGAGCTGTTTTATGAATTCATCTTGTTCCAACGTGACATTGCCGTCCTCATCCTTGGTGTGCCTCACTGCACAGATCGTATATGTGTGCTTGTAGAGTTTACACTTGCCAAAGTTACCCTCAACGCATTTGACATACTTGACAAGTGCCCTCAGTACCGGTCATGTGAATGTCATCAACATGCTTGGCCGTGAGCAGCTTGCTGCTCGTCTCGAACTTCTCGTCGTAGGACGTAGGTCGGAGGCCAAATCCTCTGGTGGTTCTCCTGAGCTTAAGTGAGAAAGCCCGCGGGGCGCCCTTAGTGCCTATGCCCGGTTTTAAGCACTGCAAACAGTGCGTTGACTCGTCGCAGTTCTCAAACCCTGGAAGAGCACGGAGCGCAGTTGCCGACCCAGGCGGCAAAGTAAAGCGCACCGCGCGTTCCTTTTCACCAATTGCCTCAGTGAGTTCTCGCTCGGCCAATCCCTTTGGGAAGGCCATGTTGATGTCCGGGGAAGCAATGATCCACTGTTTCCTGCATGCTGCCGCGCTGGCAAGTAACCGCTGGCTTGACCTTCTGGCTGTTCCCAAAAATGTTTCTACACCGATGGCTTCTAGGTCCATGAAGCCTCGATGTACCAAACGAAGTCGGATGGTGCGCCCCATATCCCACTTGTTTTTTTGTGAAAAAGCCACTCTTATGCGTATCTCGAAGTCATGATGTTCGACGCTTTGGCGGCCTCCTGCATTTTGAAGCATTTATTGTCGAACCATGTCTTGAGCTCAGTGAAAAGGGCCTTCGATATGTTCTCGGGAGTCGCCTGGATGTCAGCTGCAGCGAGGAGGTCATCTTCCTTGGCGACCAAAGCTCGCTTTGCAGCGGGAGCAGCATATACTCGCACGGCGGTCGCACGGTCGGCGTCCAACAACATGTGTTGCTGCTCGGACAAGACTACCTTTGACATCTCTGTCGTGAAGCAGAGTTCAACGCATGGGCCGCTCCGTCAGAGCCGAGTCCGTAGCTGTCGTCTTCGACCATGGTGCACAAGGGAGCGTAGTACGTTTCCTTGGTATCGGGATCATGAGTGCGCCCCCGCTTCGGCAGGTGCCCCCGCTGTTCCTCGGCTCCAGTGATCAACGCACTCTGATCAGGGACCATTTGTGTGGGTACGGTGCAGAGGTCTTCCAGTGGAGCTGCCTCCAAAAAGTGCTTTTCCTCTCGCAACTCTGCGTGCCATACCTCTATGGCATGTGACTCAAGATCAGCTTCTGATTCCTCGTAGATCGTATACAGCCGCCCGCCATCATGTTCTGGTTCGGCTTCTGAAGCCTCTCTAGCGGCTCCCTCGGGTGTCGGCGCAGCAGCCAAGTCCTCGAACTTTGACACGTCCTGATCGAAGCCTGCCTGAGGTTTGGTGGACTTCAGGCATTGGATGATTCGTGAGTGTGCTGATCCAATCATAGCATGTATATTCAGAGCAACA